GACCTTTCATATTCCACTGGAGAATACTGAAGTCCATATCGACAGCAAGAGACATTCAATTTTGTAAAAAACAAGTTTTACAAAAATGATATATGTGTGTATGTAAGTACAAAAGTGTGTTCCAGATGCTTTATTGTGAAGTTAAGGAATGTATCAGGAATATTCTTGTGAAGAGTCCATGGACTCGTCTAAGCTTCTCCTATTGTTGACGTAATATTCATTGTTTTTTAAAAAGTTTTGGGTGAATTGTGAAATTGGCGATATATATGAAGAGAGATTTACATTTAAGTCGGTTGTATTCATTTGGGTTAAGTTATTGTGAGTGGTGGAGAGAGGGGTTGACATAGTTGGGGGGTTGCGGTAGTTGGGGGTAGAGGGGAGCTTGATGTATTATCATTCCCTCCTAGGTTGGTTGCAGTTGGTTTTTCAGTTGGGTTAGTTGTAATACTTTTTGAGGTTGTTTATAAAGAATTGTTATTTTTTGATATATTGCTAGGAGTCCCTGACCGTGAGGGAGCGGAAGCGGAATTTCTAGTCATATTGGCGTAAGTGGTTGATACTTGCTGGAATGGCTGTCTTTCTCTCTGTCTGCGTCGAGCTTCGCCAATACTGCATTTTTTTAGGGTGATAATTTTAAGTACTTCCTTGGCTTGGACGAATTTAGGACAGTTACTGTCGGAGGATGGGTGTTCTCCTGCGCAATTAGCGCAGAAAGTTCTTGTGCACTCTTCGGAAGAATGTGGGGGTAGGTTGCAGTTGTAACAAGCAGGGTTACTTACGCATCGTTTTAGGGTATGTCCCAATCGCTGACAGTTCTTGCAGCGCATAGGATTGGGGATGTATGGTTGAACTTTGACCTTGTACCATGCAACGTCTACAGACACTGGAAGGCGATAGAGGTCGAACGTCAACCATTAGGCCAGTGAAGACCGACTTGCCATCAACTTGTTGTTGTTGTTGTTGTAACAGCATACAAATTCCCCAAAGACTTTTTGGGGAGTGTTGCTGGAGTGACAGTCCTTGGCCAGATATAAATCTGGGTCGTTCCGGTTACGTAGACCCGACTGTCGTGGGAACGTGCCATCAACTTGTCGCGAAAACTTGTATACTCCGGTCACATTTTGGTTTTTCATTTCGCTGATAATCTCATTTTCAGGCACGTGTTTGAGGCAAGGTGCGTATATTACTCCTTTGACAGAGTTTAAGTTATCGTGTAGTTTAACATTTATTGGGCACAGGTTGGCCAAAGACTTGGCTCTCAAGAATTTTTCAGCGATACGGGCTTTGCGGGTTAAGATTAGTGGATTACCATCTCTGTTGCTATCGGCAGAGGAAATTAATATAAATTTGGGGTTATTGTTTGGCGTGGATTTTTGGGGAAGCGGAAAATCATTTAGTTTTACGTTAGCCTTTTTCTTTTTTTGCGGGTTCACGTCGTAGTCCGATAATTCGGAAAACCTGTTAGGAGGCCTATCCGTTGGCCACGGCATGTTAAAAATAAACGATTTACTTTTACTCAATAACTTTTTTGTTTTTAACTATGGAGTCAAAACACGTGGATAGTTTATGAGAAAGAAAATAAAGCGAATCTAGTGCAAAGCACAAGTTGATAACAATGGATAACAGTCCTTCACACTCTAATCACTGAGAAAGCACGTCTGACCGCTTTGAATGATAGTCGGCGACTGTGTATATTATATTATTTATTTAAAAGTAAATCAGTGAATTTCTAGATGGGAATTCTTTCACAGTTACAGGTCTATTCTGCGCTGGTAATAAAAATTTTATAAACGGTTAATAAAGTGGCTGGAAATTTTTAAACCCTTTTCGCATTCTGTGTACTCTTGTAACCGATAAGCTGGTAAGAAAGTATTGCCCCGCGAAATATGCAATGCCAGAATTTACAAAATTTTTCATAGCTGAATTGCTGAATATTTTAACTGCATTATCAACGTACCTAGAATCTCGGTTACAAGAACTGGTAACATTTTATGGTAATACGATTTTCCGGCTACAAAATCTTCGGTAACGTGCAGAATAGACCTGTCAATGGGTTTGTAGCGGCAAAACTGAAAGGCCGATAAGTTTTATCGGTTTGACTACTGTGTATGATCGCTAACTTATTCATTGATTGTGAAATTCAATTGTACGTTTTGTAGTGCTAAAGCATGCGGCAGATATCATCCAAAGGCCTCCGGCAGGCAATAAGTACAACGCACTGAAGGAGCGCCTAATTAAGGAATTCAGCGAATCGAAGGAAGTACGTATGAAGCGTTTGCTGAGCGGTAATACAATAGATGGTAGGAAGCCGACAACTTTCCTTCGTGAATTGCGAGACCTGGCAGATGGTCACTTAACGAGGCGGTGCTTAAGTCGCTGTTGCTGCGTCAACTTCCAAGGAAAGTGCAACAAATTTTGGAAACTGTAACTGGAGATCTGGACAGCTTAGCAGAGAAGCAGACAATATTATGGCGGTCGCTGATGACTCTGGCATTAATGTTGTTAGTGGCGATGTAGACGCAGTCGCATCTTTGCAGGGCACAATCATGGAATTGAACAAGCGATTGGAGCGTTTAGAACTGGGTGTGCCAAAACCAGTTATTCGTGCTACAAACCGTCAGCGTAGCTATTCGCCTCGTGCGCGCTCTCTTAGTGTAAGATCACCATCGGGCGAGTTGTGCTGGTATCATCGCAGATTCGGTGCCTGTGCCACCAGGTGCAAATCACCTTGTAATTTTCGACCTGAAGCGCAGGAAAACTAGTTGGCCCGTCGTTTTTCGGCGACTAATCAAAGGATAGGGCCTCACGCATGTCGCCTGTTCATTAAGGACAGACTTTCAAAACTTTCTTTTTTAGTGGATACCGGAGCAGAAATATCTGTGGTGCCACGCAACAGTAACGCAAATTCTCAAGCTTCATTAGTAAAGTTAGCAGCAGCAAACAACACTCATATAAATACGTACGGACAAAAACAACTCACCGTGGATCTAGGTCTGCAAAAAAACTTTACATGGATATTCACCATCGCTGACGTGACGCATCCTATATTGGGAGCAGATTTTTTAAAGCATTTCGGCATGCTTGTCGACGTAAGAGACAAGGCGTTGGTTCGCAATGGGTCAGACCTACGTAGCGCGTGTAGAATGTCCCGCCAACATCAAAATATAACGACGATTAAATCTTCCAGCGTGTTTCAGGGCCTTGTGATCCGATATGCTGATCTGTTGAAGGAGCCAGCGCGACGTAAAGGGACTGAAACACAGATATGTCACTTCATTGATACAAGGGGACCGCCAGTGTCACAAAAGGTGCGAAAAGAGAATTTAATAATCTCTTGGATAGCGGCATATGCGTTCGGTCAAAAAGTCAATGGAGCAGTCCTTTGCACCTAGTAAAGAAAGCGGGCGGCAGTTGGCGTCCTTGCGGCGACTACAGGCGACTGAACTCTAAGACGATCCCGGACAAATACCCAATCCGTCACATACAGGACTTTGCTAGCGTACTAGCTGAAAAGAAAATTTTTTCTGTTATCGACTGCAAAAAAGCATACCACCAAATACCGGTGCATCCAGCAGACGTGCCCAAGACCGCAATCAGTGCACCATTCGGACTATTTGAGTTCCGATATATGACGTTTCTGCCTTTCGTTTTTCCCTATTTGGACGACACATTGGTGGCATCAACGTCAGTTGAGAAGCATGTACGGCACCTGCGAAAACTCTTTGACCGATATCGCGAGAAGTGATTGGTGATCAACCTGGACAAATGTCAGCTCGGTTTGCCAGAAGTGAAAAATTTGGGGCATTCAGTGTCAGCAAGTGGTATTAAGCCACTACAAATCCGCATGGAAACTTTAATCGCTCGAGCAAAGCCTAAAATGGCACACGAGCTAAGAAGTTTTTTAGGCGCTGTTAACTTTTATCGGCGTTTTCTACCACATGCGGCCGAGATTGAAGAGACACCCCTACAGAAGATATTGGGGCCTTGCAAAAAGCGCGACAAATCTTTGTTATACTGGACGCTGGAAGCTTCTGCGGCTTTTGAAAAGTTAAAACACCAATTAGCTAATGCAGCTTTGCTAGCGTTCCCGATTAAAGATGCAGAGCTGGCACTCATGACCGATGCGTCGGATAAGGCAATAGGAGCGGTGCTCCAACAACGAAGGCAAGGTGATTGGCAGCCGTTGGGATTTTTCTCAAGAAAATTCAGCAAGACGGAGCAGCGATATAGTACTTATGATCGCGAATTATTGGCGATCTACTCCGCTGTGAAATATTTCCGCTATTTTTTGGAAGGCACGCAATTTACGATTGATACTGACCACAAGCCGTTGGTTCACGCGTTTGAACAAAAGTGGGAAAGGCTTTCCCCTCGGCAGACACGACAGCTAGATTTTATTAGCCAATTTACGGTGAAAATAGTGCATCTTCTGGGCGAAAAAGATATAGTTGCAGACATGTTATCACGCATGGAGAGTATTGATAACTCATCGATGAACTATGCGGCACT